GCATTACTCTTGGGCATAAATAATAATTATTACATAATAATTAAGACGATAACTAATGCAAATGTTATTTTTTTGAAAATCGGCATTGCATTCATTTAGTTTAATAATAATTATCATCATTAATAATTTTAATGCATGATTTTCAGAACTTTTACAAATTTAAAAATGTTAAATTAGTTATCAATATTAATGATTTGATAATTTCTTTTTCTATTTTTATCAGAAGAATTCAAATATATTATATCACTTCATAATATTTTAAAGAGAAAAATATTTATAGTTACTGAAAATAAGTTATCTGCATTTTTTTTTTTGTAAATATAAGTTATTTGTATTTACTCCCAAAACGACGTCATTTTAGGATTAAAATATTAAAGAATTATAATTATAAAGACTATAATAACCTTGAAATAAATTAAAATTACAAATACACCATGATTTCTACTCCAAAATGACATCATATTGAACTTACTGCAGATAACTTATTATCTGCAGTGCTGCAGAAAAAGCGAACCCTATTTTAAAATCCTTTCATTTTTGTAATATCACGCTTTTGAAAGATTGCCTAATAACTTAAAATCCTTGAAAATTAAATTTTTTTATTTGAAATTTTTTAAATATTTGATATCATTTAAATTCGGTGGTGGTATTATATTTCATAATTGTCTGAATTCTAAAGCTATTTATGTAATGTAATTGTAATTAAAAAAATAAAATTATTATTAAATGATTTATACCAAAACGTTTTTAGATTTATAAGAAAACTGAAAACTGCATTTGAAAATTATTTGTGGAATTAATTTTTATTTGAATAAATAATTTTATTTTTAATTTTTAAAATAATAATACTTACATTATTTATTATCTTAATTATTATATAATAATTATAATTAATAATGATAATAAATAATGTCTGAGTCCGATATTTACTCTAATAAATACAGATCCGTCACATCATATATAAAATTTAAACTCTGGCTAAATTTATATACACGGTCAACTTTGATCAAAGTGAATAAATAAATGAGCTAGCTTGCTATTTTTAAAAAAATAAATAAATAAAGAAGAACACATTGGTTAATCTACCTGTCAGAAGTAATGAATGATAAATGGAATCGACCTTTATACATGACCATATTAGGCTTTACTTTTATGAGCATTGGTGTATAGTATAGAATAAGGTCTGATAGTATAAGATCTGATTGTATAAGACCTGATTGAATTTTAGTATTATCCAGCGTTTGGCATGGTATTTATAAAATAATATATTGTATAAGATATATCACCTAATATTTACACTGTATAATACTATATAGGATAAAAAAATATTTTTAATAAAAATATCTTTTAATAAAGAATTTATATAACTCTTCAAAAAATATCATAAGATATTAATTTTTATAAAAATCTATTGATCAGAGTGTCCAAAAAATAAAATTTTATAAAAATAAAAAGAATTCAATATTTTAAAATTTAATATATTGAAAAATTAATTTTTATTTTAATATATTAATATTAAAATAATATATTAATTTTTAAGAATTACACTGGTCAACGATGTTAATACACTAATATCTTATCAGGCTTAATCCTTCACCCTTAGGCCGGATTAAGTTGTACATCATTTTGATGTATTAAGAGATTCTGCTGTATAAGCTTATACTATATGATGGTCACACCAAACAACTAAAAATATCATAACATATGGTATAAACTTATACAATCAGACCTTATACATCACACCAAACATGACGTTTAAGTTTTAACGTTTTTATTTTGTAATACAACTCTGTTGTCTATGAAAGCTGAATAAGACGTCATGAGTGATTGAGTTAATGGTCTGCTTACGAGTTCAATTCAAGCATTCCAACCTAAGAATTTAGATAAAGAAAACAAAATTCTAAAATTTTATAAAAATGATTTCATATAAAAAATTATTGTATAATATAATCAAATCAGTGATAACAATAATCAGACGTAACGTTTAAAAATTAAATGTGTTAAATGATAATATAATTTACAATTTACAATTTATTTAATACAATCACGTGTTCTAATTCAATTTTCATGGGTGTTTGGTAGTATAGGTGGCAAAACGAGTTCCCCCGACCCGTTAAAAATAGGTTGATCCGTCTCGCCCCGCATTTTAAATGTGAGTTGAAAAGTTAAATCCGTCCCATTTTATGATGGGTTGACGAGTTAATCCGTCTAAAAAATTAAAAATAAATAAAAATTAAGAATAAATTATATTTTATAATATTACTTATTTTCATTTCATGTTTCTCTTGTATTTTTCTCAATCTCAAACCTAAATGTATGCTAATATTTAGTCAAAAATTCCTTAGGAACTTGTTTTTTTCTCCGTATATGAATAATCTTTGTCATAAATAAAATTTTTCTTTCTTTTTTTAGGAGAGGACTGAGATAAAAAAAAATTTAGATGTTATAAAAGCTTAATAACAAATAAAATACTACCTAATAGGAAAAAAAAGTCCAGATGGCCAACCCGTCCTGATCCACCGTCAACCCGTTTTGACCCGCAACTAAGCGTGGTGGTATGAGGCGGGTTGGTGGGTTCAAATGTGTAACCCAACTCACCCTGTTTTGATGGGTTGACATGTTGGATTCAACTTATATTGTCACCTCTATTTGGTAGGAGGATTTTTTTAAATACCCAAGAAAGTGAGGTGGGTTTTCAAAAAGACTATGTTTGGTATCACATTTCAGAAAATTTACCCAAAAAAGTTACTTACCTGAGAATCCATTTTGTGTGTAAGTTGTGAATGAAAATTCTATCCAAGAATACTACCAAGGAGGTGGTATTCTTGAATTGCTGGAAAAATATAAAAAAATAGGTGAGAAAGAGGAAATTTATCCAATATTCTTGGTATTATTTTTTATATACTAAATAATTTTTTGATAACATTCTCACAAAACTCTCTTTCTTACCATATTATGAGAAATCATGATTCTCGAATAAATAAATAAATAAATAAATCTCCTATACTACTAAACTCTCCCTTCATAGCTTAGACAAATACGTTCATTTTTATTTCCAGATGTCGATAAAATTTGTTAGATGAAATATGATGAATAAATTATTTTTAATTATAATTCATATTTTATATTTTGAATTTTTTGGAATACTTAGAAATAGCATTCATTAATTCATTATTGCATATTTTTTAAAAAAATTAATTTTACGAAATTATTATTTTTGTTAGATTCCTTTTAGAAGTGACATCAATTGAGTCAATCTGACACGAATATAAATACACTTAATATAAACATCACATGAATTTAAAATCGATTTAAAACTTTTGATATAAATACTATTGTCTTATTTTGCAGGTTAACATGACACAAAATGAATAATTAGCAAATTCATAGTCTATGACGCACGGACACTGACACGGAACACGGGACACGACACGACACGTTAGGACACGTTTTGATATTAAATAATATTTTTAATATATATAATATAATTTATATTCAAGACATATAAAAGTCCATATAAGTCATATAACTAATCAAATATTCAAATTTTATAACATAAATATAAACAAAAATAATTTTTCGTATCTTGTTAATTTTTCATGTCAAATTTTATAACAGAAAAAAATTGATTTATAAATATTTTTTATTTATTAATAAAATAAAATTAAGACAAAAAAAAATGTGTCTGAGCGTTGACCACGTGTCCGAAAAAGTTGATTGCGTGTCGAAAAACGTGTCAGGACTCATCAGAGAGTTGACCGCGTGTCCCAAAATGTTGATCGCGTGTCGGAACGTGTCGGAGAAGTTCCGTGTCGGACACGTGTCCGACACGCCCTTTTTGTAAAAATTTGTGTGTCCGGGTATTGGAGTTCATAGTATATCGATTATTATGCAAGTTGACATAACATAAACTAACTGTCAACCACAAATTGTTATTTATTATGAGGGTCATATGATACAATAAAGGGAAAAGTTCACCAATGCTCCTGTAGTTTTCTTCAGAATCATCTATGTCCCTGTGGTTTTTTTATCACATATGTCCCTGTGCCTTGTAAAAAATAAAAAACCACAGGGACATATATTATAAAAAAAAATACCCTTTTGCAAACCACAAGGACATATGGTATAACAAAAAAATCACAAGGGACATAGGTGATTCTGAAATAAATCAGTGAAACATTGATGAATTTTTCCTTACAATAAAACACAAATAACTTATTTACAAACAAATAACATATAAAAAATTAATGTAAATCAATTTTACATTCGCAAATTGACAAGCAACAGAACACAAAATCTTTGGAATAAGATATCGTGTGAATGGATGATGCTGAAAATAGTCAGCCCTACTTTTAAGAATCTTTTAAATAAAAGTGAACTAATTACAAGTGTAATATTGATTTTTCCTTGTACCACCCAAATCAAGTAGATTCTTCCATGTAAATACGGTATTACTCCTGTACCTTATCAAACATATTTCCCCACTACGTAATGGAACTATGCAAGTCAATTGACTTTATCACTTCCTTCCAAAAAATTTAGAAATATAAAAAGATAATAAAAATAATTTGATATTTTTTAAATATTAATAAGAAATATATTCCATAAAAAATAAGAACAGAATTAAAATCAAACGTCTCTTTTAACTCTAAAAAATTCTGCACATATCACTTTTATAAGCAAGGGTTATCAAGCCTATTCAACTATTAATTTATTAATTACTAACTATTTAACTACTCATACTTGATCTTAATTGCAGTCTCAAATTCTTTAATTAATTATGTAAATTAGTAATTAGATAAGTTTATATCTAATTAATTAGGAGGTAGTGTCTCTTAACAGTTAACACTACAGCAACATTCAATTTTAATTTTTTTAAAAGGCCTCCAACTGTAAATCTATAATATCTCCACCTCATCAAATTCCCAAACAACGACAAAACTTATAAATTAAGAAAGATTAAATGTTTGAAAACTAAAGCAAACAAAAAATGATAATTAAAAAAAAAAAAAAAAAAAAAAGATGTCTATTATGATACATGGTAGTGTCACATAGAAGCAGTGGGGATCATAGTTGGTGGTGCAAATCCATTTCCCAAAAAGAAATGGAGAACTATGGATACCCATCATCGTACCCAGACTCAGGCGACTCTTCTCCGCGATCAAGAGAGATAGACTTCGAGAACACAGCTCCATCTCCAGTTCCATGGGAAGATCAACCACCAAACTACAAAGCCAAGTTCATGTGTAGCTACGGCGGCAAGATCCAGCCACGCACTCACGACAACCAACTCTCTTACGTCGGCGGCGAGACCAAGATCCTCGCCGTCGACCTAAACATCAAGTTCAGCGCCATGATCTCTAAACTTTCCGCCCTATGCAACGATGCTGACGTGTCCTTCAAGTACCAGCTCCCAGGCGAGGATCTTGACGCTCTCATCTCCGTCTCCAACGATGACGACCTTGACCACATGATGCACGAGTACGATCGTCTCTACCGTGCTTCCGCTAGACCCGCCCGCATGCGATTATTCCTCTTCACTAACGAAACTCTTAATTCGGCTCCTGCTTCTTCCCAACCCGACCCGGTTAAACCACCCGCCAACAACAACGTCGACTTTCTCTTCGGTCTAGACAAGGCCAACGCCGCTCCTCCGCCTCAGCCACCGCCAGCGACTGTGAAATTTCATGATCCAGTGCCGGAACTTCCTCGTGCCGCTCTGAGCCCTGCTGATCGGGTCGTTAGTTCGGATCCGAACATGAACCACCCGCTCGAGATTCAGAGACAGTTGCAGCGGTTGCAAGTTGTGGAGAACGAACAAGCTGCGTATCGGAGAAAAAGCGAAGACAACGTCGTCGGGAATTACCACGCCGGAGATTATTACGTTCACAAGCTACCTGAGAAATTGCCACCGTCTAATTTCCCGGCGAATGCGCCGCCGCCTCCCCAGGCAGGTTATTGGCCTGAAAAGCATGTTTCTGGCGAGGTTTATTCTCCGACGGTGTCAGCTGCTCCCGGAGGAGGGGACCAGCCGGTTTATGTAATTCCGGCGCCGGGAAGTTTCTATCATGCGCCGGTGATGCGTCCGCCGGCGGCACCGGCCACTCAAGGGTATTACACTGTTCAACGAATGCATTCTGATGCTTACCGTGAACCCCCGGTATACGGTGGCGCACCACCCCCTAAAGTGCCGTTCTCATCGGCGGTGCCGGCGCAACCGGTTAAAGCTCCTACGTATACAGAAGGATTCAGTGTAGTTCGCCCGGCTGGGATACCGGATAATACGGCCGCAGCGTACGCACATGTGGCGTACGATAGTGCAAGTGGGAGACAGGTTTACTACACTGCGCCGGGTGGCATGATGCACGCGCCGCCATACCAAGGAGTTGCTCCGCCCGTCAACGCTGATATGAGACAAGGTGGGGTGTCGTTGGGTCAGGAAGTTAAAATGATAAACAAGGTTTCTCAAGGTTCAGTGTGATTAAAGTTCTGATTAAGATTATGGATATGTTAATTTTGAATTAATATGCTAAATATGTTTTTTTTTCCCCTTTTATGTTCGTAATCGTATTTTTATATAATAGGGATATTGTTCGCTTTTACTTGCTATGGACCTATTGTTGTACACAATGTCGATGATGGATATATACTATGGTTATGTTTAGATTTCTTTCTATGCTTCTAATCTGTGTCTTAGTAGTGTTTTCTTTTCTTTCCCCTTTCTTAAGAATTATACTTGAATTGATTCACGAGATTTCATTATCTTTTTGAGTATGTACCAAAAAATTCTCTTTTCGATTGAAATTGTATAAAACAAAATTTGAGTATGCTGCTCAGGATTTTATCCGGGTTTGCATTAATTTTTTACTGCTTGTTTGTTGCATTGAAATTGAATTTAGAATCTCTTACGTGTAAGATTCTCAAATGTTGAATCTCGGATGTCCTCCGTTAAGATGATGTTTTTTCATTTAAAAAAAAAAGGTTTTATTAGTGTTATGTAACATGATGTAAGTGTTGTTTCCAACTTTCACATTAAAAGAGAGAAAAAGTGAAATGATGAAAGAGAAAGAAAAACATGTGGACCCCCCACCTCTTTGATATGTGTGTAGAAAAGTGAAGTTATATTATGTTAAATGATAAACATAAAATCCTTTAAAAAAAGGTTACCATCATTTAAATTTATATGTACTTAACATTGAATGATTAAGGTTAATTAGAAACGCTAAAAAAAATATAGAAATTAAAAGAAAAGCTAGTAGGTACTGTTTTCTTATTCTTCAAAGCCTATACATGAATTATTATTATTTTGGGTTTAAAAAGATATTTATTGACGGTGTCCTCATTTACTTGATCTGTTCTTATGATCACATCTTAACTTAAAACAGGCATAGGTGATATCGAAGTTCACATGATGTAAATTTTTTAAATTGATCGATCAGTGAAAAACAATCAGAAGTTTATGCAAAGGGTAACCTAAAAAGTATTCAAAATAGCAGAAAGGGCGTCTATATCTGCAAATTAAAATTTTTGTCTTCATCTCAATCCCCCATCTATTCAACAGTGAGTGTGCACCAAAAGGTACGCAAGGGAACAAAAGTGTAGCAATCACCCTTATGATATTATGGCCAATTAAGATAATTTTGAATAGAACCTTTTCGTGTCCCATACTGTACCAGCGTTTGACGAGTGTGTAGGGTTTAGTTAGCTGCTCCCATCCAAAATCATAATTATTTCATTATGCTCCAAAAACAAAGATGGCAAACATGACAGGTTGAATTTTTCATATTCCAGGTGTGCGTTTTCTCGAGAATCAAACGTCCATGATTGCCCCCACCACATCTTCCTTTGAATTTAAGTAGAAGGGTGAGTCTCTTTCACCCCAATTTTCCTTGAAGTTTCATTATGGCCTCACGCTAGTACATGTCACTATTTAGATGACATACTTTGAGGCGGCGTGGCGCCAATCTGCGTTGGAAAAGTGTAGGGAGTTGTTGCTATATTTTGACTATTTTATATAAGGTTCGCTTTTTATCATGTCACATGACAAGACTATTTTTCTACACACACAAATCAAGTGTGGATCTCACGCTTAAAAAAAAAAGTCAAACCAGAATCAGAATACGGCGCCGTATCCTCAAGATACGTTGCTGAATCCTTGTTGCAGAAATGAACAGTGTCATTCCTGCAATATGATTCTTATATTTTCCTTTATATAATCTCTTTTATTTTTTATGAGCGAGAGGGGGCAGTGACAAGCCCCTAAGCAATACATCCATCCAGCTCATATATATACATATAGAGAGAGAAAAGCACTAGTTCATGTTCTTAACTAAACCCATGACCGGATTTCAATTGCATCCAGTTTATATAATTGCATTGTTGCCTTTCTTTTTCCTTATTAAAGTAGTTGAAGAAGTTCACATAAAGGAAAAAAAATTGAATATCGTAAAAAGTAATACACACATCTCATAATCAATAAATATGAGCAGTTCGATTCACAAGTACACGATGCAGCAGTTTTTCTTCTACTTCTTGTTTTCTTTAACTCCAGAAGATGCAGTCCTTTCAACCCATTCAATTATTTCTTTGGTGCATGTATGGTACTTCTGTCCCAAAAAAGAATTTTTTTGAGATTTGATGAGAAATTTATGAAAAGATATGGATTAAATGGAAAGAAAATTGAGAGTAAATACATTTTTTAGTTCCTGACAATATGCACGAAGCCCTTTTCAGTCCCTAGCAATAAAAAAGGACAAATTGGTCCCTGAAATAACAAAAAAAAGGCTACGTTCATCCTTTTGTTAACTCCCACCTAACGGCCCAACTAACGGTGCACAGTTGGCACATTAGTTTGCTGACGCGACTTGGATGTGGGACACCGTGAAAGATGAGACAACAACGTTTTGATCCATGTCAAAACCACGAGGGCCATTTTGGTCCCTGTCAAAATGCACGAGGACGTTTTTAGTCCCTGACAAAAAGCACGGGGCCCGTATTGGTCCCTAACCAGAGAAAAATAGGCACATGTCTTCATTGCTTTTCTATGCAGTCCAATTTTGCAAAACAGAAGTGCATTACATCAGAAATAGGAGTGCAATCCAATTTTGCAAAACAGGAACATGACATTAAATTGGATTTGCATGCAGTCCAATTTGTTAAACCAGAAGACATGGATGTACAAGAACTACAACAACGTATATTAGTTAAAGAAATCAAAAATGGTAAACTTAAACATTCATCAACCCTGTGAAACATAATAGCTGGAACATGATTTGAGTTTCATTATATTTGAAGACATGGATGTACAGTAGTGCATTACAAAATAAAGTCAACTGCCAGGAATTAAAAGAAAGGCCTCTAATACAATATGGCCAGAATTTACAAAAAAAACATTGACATAATAAGGTCTCCAAAATACATAATGGCCAGAATTTTCAAAAAAAGTCAGTCACATAATAATAAACCCTTCTCAGTTGGCTCATGCACTACTCCCAGGTCATATACATCAGCAGGTCATTTTCTTGAGCAGGCATTGATGGCCTAAAACCAGGTGTGCTCATGAAGGCCAATAATCTGCTTCGTGTGCCACTGGTTGCTGCATTCATTGTTTCATTACTCAACAGCTCCTTTCCTTGTTGTGGATTTGATGGAGGTGGGCTGCTTCCTCTCAAGTTGTCTTCATGTGGTTGAGAACTACCAACTGTTGCAGTCCAGTCAACTGTCATGCATTGCAATTATCAACAATCATTTACCTGGCTTCTTCTCTGATTTTTCTCTGTATTTAAATATCAACAATCATGTAATTATCTTTTATAGAAAAATAAATAGTATAATTGTAATGCTACACTACTAAAGATATTGTTCGTAAATCGCATAACGCTATGTCTTATACAGACTAAGAGAATTAAAGCAGTTCATAGTATTCTAGGGATCGTAAAAGCTGTTTGCAAGAGCCAAGAATCCCTTTTAACAAAGTGGGAAGCTTAATTAGCATTAAAAAGAAATGAATAATCGTTAATAAGGTCAAAACTTCAGTTAGAAACACAAACTTCATTGAAATAAAATGTCAAGAAGGAGTATTTTACTTTGTGATGAAATTTAGTTTAATTACTTTGTGATGAACAAATGGATTGCACTCCTGTTTCTGATGTAATGCACTTCTGTTTTGCAAAATTGGACTGCATAGAAAAATAATGAAGTCATGTGCCTATTTTTCTCTAGTTAGAGACCAATAAGAGCCCCGTGCTTTTTGTCAGGGACTAAAAACGTCCTCGTGCATTTTGACAGCGACCAAAACGTCGTCGTCTCGTCTTCCACGGTGTCCCACATCCAAGCCGCGTCAGCAAACTAACGTGCCAACTGTGCACCGTTAGTTGGGCCGTTAGGTGGGAGTTAACAAAAGGATGAACGTGGCCTCTTTTTTGTTATTTCAGAGACCAATTTGTCCCTTTTTTATTGCTAGGGACTGAAAAGGGCTTCGTGCATATTGTCAGGGACTAAAAAAGGTATTTACTCGAAAATTTATTTTTAGAAAGAAGATGTACCAGTTGGGTATTTCAAGAAATGTCCTCATTCAAGGATGGATGATGACTCAATGTGTATTTATGTGACTGTCAGAGTATAGCGGAACCAAATTGTTTTTGTGATGAAAAAAACCTAAAGTTGAATATTTTGGTGGTCCTCTCAAAAAAGTTTTTTTTTTTTTTACCCTCTTTATTTGTGAGAAAGGAGCAATGAGTGACTGTTGCTACCGGAGAACCCAAATTCCTCAATTTGCCATGGTAGAATAGAAAATGGTTCGTATAGTATTTAGATGATCAAAAGAAGGATTCTATGTTTCGTAAGAGATAAAATTATCACATATACACACGTAAAAATATACATGGCCCATATAAAATTATGTGAAGAGAATATTTATATATATATATATATATATATATATATATAAGTCCCATACACTTTTATGTGTGCATAAGAGATAAAATTATTTCCAACTACATAAGAGATATTAAACCCCTAAAAAAATGGTTTTGCACATTACTTTTTTTAAAATCATATTTTTATTAAGAAATCAGATAGGTTAAACGTTAAAGAATCTACAAATAAAGTTTCACTCAAAGGGTAATTTGAGCCAAGAATTGAAAGCTGTATTCAATTAGACCAATTCTCAGAACAAAATAAACAAATAAATCAATTGGAACAACCTAGAAATATTGCTTTGAGCTTCAACTTGGCACGGATTCATCCTTTCTGCTGCCCATTGGATACCATCATATTCTATAAAAAATATGTTATATTAGAAGAGTAAAGCCGAAGTTTGCTCTGTTAATGGGTTTCACAGGATGATATCATAATGAGAAAAGTTTAGATGTTGTACGAACAAAACTCCAGTAGAAAATGTTAGTTGTGCGCATTTTATAATTGCTAGCTTGGGTCTTAGATAGAGTTGATCATGGTGGGGTTAAGTTAGTTTTGGGTAGAAATAAAAATAAAGTTGATTAAATATAATCGACTTAAATTAGTTCATATTAAATTAAGGATGGTTTGGATTAGATAGTTAAAATAATATTTTATTTTTTCATGAATTTTATTAAAATATTATGTTTTTTCAAAAAAAAATCACAATAACATTTTTTTTTAGTTAACCCAATGCTGATTACCTCTTTTAG